GGTGATAAAACTCACCTTGAAGCAGCTGATTTCTTTCCTAATTCTGAAGAAAATAATTGAATAAATTATGATACATTGGCGAATAAACACTATTAATTAGCTTGCATTTATTTTAGAATTTTATCGTAGTACTGTGATTTTATGCTTTATGGGACATTTGTTTTTGGATATTTTTATGTTTTCGGATATTTCATTATTATTATTATCAGTCATTTATTAATTTAAGTTATTTGGTTTAGTGAATCTTATTTTAGTTCCTTTAATTCTATTAGAATATTAATTTGAGAATTTATAGTATAAAGGTTCGTATAATTGGGCAAGAGGAACGAATATGAGTCTTATAAGAATTATTTTACTTTGCTATACATACATTGATAAAAGAATTTGTGACTTAGAAGGTGCAAGAGATTTAAAGGTAGTTGGATTAATTTAATGCCCCCACATGCAAGGATTAGGGGGAGATAGTATTTATATCATTATTTTATGTAATCCTTGCACATAAATAATAAAATATATTGATGGTCAGTTTGGTACATACATTAACTTAAATATTAATGTTTTAATTAATAAAAGTGGTCACATGTTAATTAATATATTTCAAAATGATACCATCCTGAAGATGGATATGAATAGATGTCATTAGCTATATACCTTTATAAGTTGCTAATGAACCTAAAGCACGCCTGAAGCGTGGTATCCGTAGCCGAGCCCAATAGATTCCAAAGATAAGAATATTCAAACAGGAAAAGAGCAATTATTGACAATAGTAAATTTGAGGAAGTAATACGTTTTGATAGACCTTTATAAGATATTATATTTAGTAAAATGGATATGTACCATGATTATATAGAGTACTCTAGAAGAGTATAGAATTATCCAACAAGCTTAGCATGTATCAAGATTATAGTCAAAACTCTAGCAGAGTATAAAATTTTGGATCAAGTATTAGTTGATTGTCTTGCCAATTATATAAAGAAACACATTTTGGTGTTCTAATATCACATCATATTATGTCTCATAAAGTGATCACCTGGAAAACTAACCGTAATATAAAATTGGATAAATGATTGGATGTGATAATTAAATTAGGCCATACGGGTTCAATAAATACCCGTTATAGAAACCTGAAGTTTCATTTGATAATGTGCTGACACTCTCTCAATGTTAGATATATGAAGTGAATTGAATGGCAAGACATAACATTGAGATTGAACTATATTTGGATTCTGATTTTCAATGATTTGTGTTGAAGAAAATTTCAAGAGATAATATATTCGTTCTGAATAAATTTTCATACGAATAATAGGTGACTAGAAGTTCACCAGAATAACTTATATGTTATCACATGTTGGTGACCAAAAGCTCACCAAATACAAGTTGTATGAGAAAATTCTGAATATTTAATTAGTATCATACTATCAAGGTTTCTAGTGATCTAGAAAACCATCACCTAGTAGAATTACAATCAAGTTTATATTTGTATAATAATTCTTTTGATTGGGGATATTATATGTCAGCACATAAGAAGTTGGAAAAGAAAGAAAAACGTACAACTGCACGACACATGTCTCCCCATTGACATTGATCTCCGGAAGAGAACATATTATAGAAAGTGTAACAATAAATACACATGCAGTGTAAAGTTAATGAAGAAATGATTCTTCATTGAAATTGTTCTCTAGAAGAGATAAAACTTGTTTAATACAAATCTTCTGAGATAATTATTTTGATTGTGATCCTCCCGATGAAAAGAATTTTAATTTATATACTAAGTTGGTATAGAATTAGACGCCCCTATAAATGAGATATTTTACCAACTTAGGGGGAGAAGAATTAGCAAAAGTTGGAAAAATCGGAAAATATAATTGATGATCCCGATAAGGTAGTTTGAAAAGTTATATGCCAACTTTTGTCTATATATTATCAAGATATGTTGCACATTTATGATTTGATTTGTATTTAGTTATGACTCATGTTGCATAGCGTTGAAGATACTTTTTGGTCATATTATGTGTATACATTGAGATAAAATCTTGCCAATTATACTTGAATCACTACACCTGAAGTGCAGGTTGTATGATCGGTTCCAAAATAAAAATATCTTTAATGGATATGATATATGGCAAGATAGTGCAGTTAACACTAATAGCGTAATAATATATAAATACCATAGAGTATGAAATACCCTAAAAGTGGTATAGATATCTGAATTATTACAATATATGGCCTATGATGTAAGGAAGTTATGATGGTACCAATAAGAAAAGTATTTAGATATCATAGTAAAATAGCATGCGAAATGTACGTTAAAGGAATATTATGATACCGGTATACAAGGGAACCGATAAATAATATGCATATGTATGATAGAATGGACTAGTGAATAAGGGATCTGAAATATATATGTCCATTTTGATGTCAACATAATGATAATGATCAAAAGTTTATCATGGACTAGAAGTCCAATGTAATATAGATTTTTAAATCCACACTGTACAGTGTCTTGCATTATTTTGAGTCCTATGCATGTTTATATGCATAATTCATAGGTTAACGGATTGTTCATTACATATGTTAGTAGTTGTTAGATGCATTACTTATTGTATATTTTGCTTAATATGTTATCATGTTTTATATATCTCATATTGCATGCATTAGTTTCTATACAATATTTGTGGTGTATGTGCATGTTCATTCAAAGTATAGTAAGGCATATTTACAACTTTGATGGAAAATTAGAAAGACATATTTATATTCCAACGGGCTTATAATTATGATGAAATTAAATATGACGTTGATCTAATATTATTTATGAATCATGTAAGAGAAGTTCCCGAAGAACGTATATGCAACGTATTTATAGCCCTACAAATTTTATATCTTGAATATTGCAATTATTATCAAACTCTTGAAAAGTCTATGTGACTACATCATTGACTTCTCAACCTGAAGTTTGAGCATATGAAAGTTAGTGAGATTTGCTTTTGTATTTGCAAGAGAGCTATCGTGTCAATTATGAAACGTCTAAGGAATATCAATGGAATACTTATGCGTGAGAATGTTTTCTTATGGTCCAGAAGAACCATGATTAGCGTATCTAATTACATGTGTTATATTATAATTCAGATGAGATTGAAGAACGACATTAATAATATCAAGTTTTGTCATCAAATTATTATTAATGAATGTTTGATCAAATAATGATCATCGATTTCTATTATTCACGACCTCCAGAAGAAGGCCTAACCGCATAAGTTTAACTTTTAAAATAACTTTATTCAAACAGAGGTTTGGAATGATGTAGAGATAAATACATGTATGGTGAAATGAAGACACTTCACATGTTCACTTGAAGACTTGAAGATGCAATTTCAGTTTAGGAGGATCGAAGACCAATGAATGATATTTTACTACATATTAGAAGATATCCATCTATATTGGATTCATTGTTGCAGCACTAGAAGATCTCAGGTTATGTATTCATCAGGGGGAGAAAATACGCGCTGCACTCTTTTTCCCTTGACCATGGTTTTGTCCCACATTGGGTTTTCCTGGTAAGGTTTTTAATGAGGCAGCATCTCGAGCGTATTACGAAGAATGTTGTACTCTTTTTCCTTCATTAGGTTTTTTTTTTATCTCACAGGGTTTTTCCTAATAAGGTTTTAATGAGGCACACTCTTCGATAATGGACATCCAAGGGGGAGTGTTATGAAATATTTGTGGATATCCATTATCCTCCCTGTATCATTCCGGAATATTCTAGATTTAGGGTTTATTGTTATCTAAGCAAACCCTAGTTATATTGTATGTATATATATCCACATTCTATGGAATAATAAAACTGATCTATTCTCTCTTAATCTCTCATTTTTTTTTCCTTATTTTATAACAATTATTTATTTATTCGTTATTGTTTATGATTTATAATATTTTTTTTCATTATAATTTTGAATAAATTATTAATGGAACAACTATTGATTAAATATACAAACGTGTTCTTGTTAAAATAATTATATAAACATGTCCTTTGTTTATAATTTATAATATAATGAAAATAAAGACATAATTATTATCAAAATAATTAAATAACTAAAATTAATTTATACCAATAGCTAATTTTTCTTGCTTGTATGTATTACCTCGATTAGCATAATAAACAAATAATAGGATCGGTTTTTTTTAAAAAGAATTTCAATCATTAAATGTTCAGATCTCCATCTAATCCATATAATATATATTTATGAGTGGACTATAAAAACATAATTAATATATGGATGAGATGGTAAGACACCTAATGCACATTTTTTGGGTTATGAGTTCGAATCTCATGATAAACGTTTTTAGGAACGTTTTTTAATAGATAAGTATAGATAGTCAAAGATTAGCTCATATATTTTGGTTCTTTTATATTATTTTATAAAAATATAGTATAAAAACCGCAAAGGACATTAAAGTGTTGCTTGCGGTGCGGTTTGGTCGAACACGGTTTAGTCATTTTCAAAAACTATTTCGCAATTTTCAAATCGCAAACCGCATTAAACCGCAATGTGAGATCTAAATTGCACTGTGTACATCCGTATCTACAAAGATCTCACATGCATGCTATTTTATACTATCTTATAAATCCAAAAAAAAAAAAAAAAAAAATTAAAGTTATTTTAATTTTTCACCACATGAATAGTAAATGAGTCAAACTTTTAGATTGGAAGTGATATGAGTTTTGTGTAAAAGCACTATATTCCTAGTTTTCTTTTTATTTTCATGCACCTTTAGGAGTTTCATGCGTAGAAATGTACCAAGTATAATTCTGACCATCTTTGGGTAAAGATGAAAAAAATAAATCAACATTTTAAAAGTATGTATCAAGACGAATCTAACATGACTACTACGCATATTTTTGCTTGTGTTTAGATTGTATTATAAAACAGTGCCAAAGGAGAGCGAAAACAGTAAAGTGTAATGATCTAAATGCCGCGGAAATTAAAGAACGGAGAAAGCTATTTACGTAGTACTAAAATTGTCCTTTATATCTGAAAGTAACAACGGAGTATAATTTTGGTTAGAAAGTTGAATGATGTTACTACTGATAGACATATTAGACTGTCTCTTACACAAGACATACTCGAGCTAAGGTGAAAGTCTGTTCTATTATGCACCTAACAAGCATAAAGTTTTTCCCAGATAATGGGGGTGTAGGGGGTGGGGCGAAGAAAGTTTAATGACACAGATCAATGCATAATAACTAGCTAATTCACAACAAATATACATCTCTCCAGTATGTATGTAACTATGCTACTGTAACCGCCTCATCTGCTTGTAACCAATCAAACTAAATTTAACTTAAGTGGGGAAATATTTGCAGGATGAACAAGAAAGAAAACAATAAAAATTGAATAGCCGAGGGATATGTATCATGAATGCTAGGGATACAGATAACAGGTAATTGCAAAAAAGCACCTTCAAATGAGCAGAATTGAGCTAATGCTATTCACTGGCTGTAGTGCTACCTGAACATTCTTCCATCTTATGCAGTTCCAGCATTCTTGCTTCAGGATTACAAAGTCCTGTGTAATGAATTTTAAATAATAATCAGTAAACTATTGGGTTTGAACTTGTAGGAAATGAAGGAATCATTCACGCATTTTGAGGAACTATGCAGAGTTAGATTTTCGAAATGTCACTAGTAATCATCTACAGAGCTTTTAACAGGAAAAAAAATGATTATTGGTGGTGATTGAACGAAAAAATTATACGTTGATACTCCCAAATCCCAATTATCTTGATATTAGACATTATGAACTCAGATTAAAGCCTGGGTTCACGGTCATTTTATATAACCATAGTAGGGATTATCGAAGTATTCCCTCCATTTAAGAAAGTTCGACTCATTTTCCATTTTAGAATGACCATCTTACTTTTGCTATATTCTATCTTTGTCAACTTATAAACACCTTATCACCTTACCCCATAAGATACATGACTTTACACATTCTCTTGTTCTTATTATTAATCTTTTTTAATTGACTTTTATTTTCTTACATCCACTCACCTATTCCAAAATTTCCTAAAAACAAGACTTTTGAGTCAAACATCTAGAACTGGAGGGAGTATGCCTTTTCAGTTAGAGTTTAAACACCAAAAGTTGTGATTGGTCTTTACAACAATTTAAGAGGGCCATCTCTCTCTCTCTCACTTGTAACCACAGCACTTCAAAAACCCAATTTCTAACAATTTGTTTTCAAGAGTGTTTGTAATGCTTATACATAGCCTTTTTTTTTTGTTTTTTATTTTTTTTTATGTGCAATAACATATATTAAAATAACTACCTATACACATAAAATAACTACCTATACATTTTTTTTTTTGATTTTTTTTTTTTTTTTTGACAGAGGATCAATAACTACCTACTACATAAATTTTCTAAAGGAACTAAAATATTCAAAATTCATCGTAATGAATATGTATCCACGTTCTAGTTACGTTAATTTTTACAAATCAATTTCATCCCATCTAAAATCGATCCTCCAATTATTTATTAATATTTTTCTCAGGATACATGAACACACATACATTCTCTTTTTGCAACAGATTTTTTTATTATCCCTCTGCATGATTATTACCATCAACATAACATTTTCACCTTCTTTTCATTGTTGACTCTATATAATATCCAATAGCTTAAGAGATACTCCCTCCATTTTTAAATACTTGCTCCATTTCTCTTGGACACGCATGCTGATACTAATCTTTGATCACTAATATCTTTAATTATTAATAAGTATAAATTCTAAAAATTGAAAATTAATAATCTATTTATTGATATGATTCCAACAAGTACCCATAAGACTATATTTTTTCCTATGTATAAATCTCAAACATTAGTCAAAGTAGAACAAATGAATAGTGCAAAAAATAGAAATGGAGCAAGTATTTAAAAACGGAGGAAGTAACATATGATCTTATTTCATTGTGCCAAATTTTTTTGTGCCCTTCCCATTTATTTAAGATATATAAATAGCAAAAAATAAGCACCCATTAGAACAATTTTTTTGTAAAAAAACTTGAGTGTTTTCTTAATAATCATGCACACATAATAATTTATCAGTTACCACTATGAACCACCCTTAATTATTTTTGGGTAAGAATGCATAACTTATTCAACTTGATAATCTTACTAATTAGTCAAATATGTGTGTAACCTATTAATAGAGCTTTAGGAATCAAAACAAAGAACAAAATACGAAGTAACCATCAATAATCGCAAATTCTCAACTTCTTTGATATCCAATACCAATGGCCACTAAGGGCCTGTTCTCTTCAACTTAATCTCATTTCAGTTAGGTTCAGTTCAGTTCCAATCATTTCAGTTTAGTTCAATTCAGTTTCTAATTTCCTTCTCTCATAAACAATTCATTTCAGCTCTATTCAATTCAGTTCGGTTCAATTTAGCTCCAATCAATTCAGCTTAGCTCAACAAATCAACAGGCCCTAATATTGAATATTATCATGGTTGGGATTATTGATTTTCTATATAGGTCCCCTTTGGCAAAAGTAGCGGTAGCGGGTAGCTATTAAGGTAGCAAGTAGTTGTCAATTAGTGCCGAGTAGAGGTTAGCTGTCAAAGTAACGATTGATAGTATGAGTGTTTGACAAAAGTAGCGGTTGTAATACTAAAATATATCAAATTCATATAAATTTTGTTTACAAAGTAATAAAAAATTGTCAAACGCTACCCGCTACTATTTTTAACGTTTGAAAAAAGCTACCTAAACGCTACATCAATCGCTAACTGCTACTAAACCCACAACCTTGCCAAACACTCTCAAATTTTTTGTAGAAGTGTTTTGATTGGTCAAAAAGCTAACCGCTATCTCAAACGCTACAACCAAACAAGGCCATAATTATTAATTAATATTTTTATTATCTAATCACAAACATTTAGGATTCTATTTTCATTTTATTTCAGATATCTTGTTATCACAGACAGGGATAGAATTGGGTAAAAGTTACATACAGGAGTGTGCAGTTGAGGAACACAGCAACTTTAGTAGATGCTCCCACATAAATTTTTCATACGTAAAGCATGAGTGGCCATCCTATTTTCATTCATTGATGTTCACTAAAAGATTACTAGTTCTCTATTGTTTGCACCTATTTAAATTAATAAATTTACTGGCTGAAAATAAGGGGAAAGGAAAACTATCAAAGTAGGCCTGGCGCGATACACAATTAGACATTCGTTTTGGGAAATCCTAAAAGAGAAATTAGTCACTTTAGTGTGAGAATTAAGATGAAATGGTGATGCCAAACATAGATTACATCTGGCATCCACACAAGAACAATGCTTGATATCCAATATCCATAAGCAAAAACATAGACATAATAACTTTAAAAGTTTTTAACTGATAAGTAGAGGACATACCTGAACATTTGGGTATATCCCAAACAGCAATGGATGTTGATGTACACTCTCGCGCGCACAACTCAAGATTGTTCTCATGATTTACATTCATCGCAAGCATCCATGCTCCAATCGTGACATCCTCATTGCTAAACATTCGGAAACTGCAATTTTAAGCGATACAAATGCGTTAAACGCCAATCATATAACTCATCCATAGGTAGCAACTCATTTTTATCACGTATCCTCCCTCTTAGCAGCAATGGGTGAGCAATGATGCCCACATAAATTTAAAGGTTAAAATCCTGAATATAGTTAAGGTCATGTTAGGAAAGTTGGACCCAGCCCCAGAGCCACTGGGGACAGGGTCCAGGTTCCTAAAAAATAAGGACAAAGTCCTGAGATAGGGAGGAATGTTTCCAGAATCAGTACCAGTTGTATTATCTTCCACTAGAGATAAATAAATTTATATTTAAGGAAAAATGCTATTGCTTCCAGAAATTACAAGCAAATAGTTTTGCATTTGCTTTGACTTCACAGCATGTTATTCTACTGTACTAAGTATAAACTTAAAATAAATCTAACATACAGCGATGGTCATGCTACAGTTTTAGCCTTCAAGGTCGGTAAATTCATAAAACGGAATCAAAAATGCTTTAATGTTATTCCAAGTTTGGCATTGGATCTGGATTCTAGAACCGATAAGATCAATTTCTGGTGTGGGCTTGAGGTTGGATACCAACTATCTAAACTTTTTGCTTATCCCCACTCTAAAACTTGATTTCAAGAGGAAAGAAATGTTTGAATAAGAGGGAAAGCAAGTTCCAATTTATGAAGGAAGACACACTAGCCTTTGTACAGCAATTGTGTTGTATAATAACTTATAGAAAATAGAATTTCCCCTTATCATGATTATGAGCTCACCAAGAAACAGAAAAACCTGGGAGACACCATAAGCTTGCTAGGTATCAATTTCAACCTGATAACGTGAATTCTTGGACTCATAATTTAGGGGTCTAATTCTACAAAAGGGATCACCTGTCCTGTATTTTCAGTGGGGTCATATACACCACCTGAAATGGTTGTTGGTCCACGTTAATCAAATTACAGCCTGGGATATATTGATAGGGGACTTGGAGCAATGATCACTTCCAGGTGTAAATTTAATAAGGTTTGAGCTGGTCTATTTTCTGGATGTACTGCCCTTAATTGTCTATTGTTAAGATAACGAGATCAAGATGGATCCAGGCCTCCAAAAATCAGACATGGGTACTTTTAGCATGATGGAGTCTATAAAACACAATTGCAAGAAAATGGGAAAATGCAACAATTACAAGTAATTTACAAAGCAAACTTACCTGTCATTTCTCAAGGCAACCAAGCTTCTGACAACTTTGGCTGAAAGTGCATAAATTGGACCATAGGCATGGAGAAAATACTCTGAGCCGAGAAGATAGGACATGGGTTCATACCTGCATGTTTTAAGTCATCGAGATTAATAGACCAAAGACATCCAAGAATTAAACTATTAATGAGGGAAAATCTAGTAGGAAGAATTGTGTTGGACTTCTTGGACTATGTTAGGTTTTCATGAAAACAATTATGGCCTAACACTAAGCCAGTGTAGTCGGAAAGAGAGCAATTATGCAACAGATCAGTAAATTCTTCCTTTTGATGTAGTTCAACTTGATAAGGGTTGCCTAAACACATCAGGCTACTAAGATCCTGTTGGTAAAAAGCACAATTAGGTAACTTTTTTCATAATACCCAATTGTTGCGTATTACATTTTGTAGGGTTTTTTTTTTTTTTTTTTTTTTTTTTTTTTTTTTTTTTTTTTTGCCAAACAATTCTTTACTCAAAAAAGGCTAAAGTGTTCTGTACTTGACTTGTTAGTTCTATTTCTTTACTTATGCGACATAAACTTCTTTTTCTTTTATTTTCAGGTAATCAGGTGACTACATAAACTTCTCCTTTTTCTTTAATTTTCAGGTAATGAGGTGGCTAAGGAGAGATCCCCGCCAAAGATTGTTGATCAATTCATCATCTAGTTTTATTGCTATGGATAATTGGATATCCTGTTATTGCAATGTGTTACTCTCTATAGTTAATTTTGATTACTCAAATTCCACAAGTTGATGGGTTTGGTTGGATAAAGAGGTAAATGGATGGTTTTCTAGAGATAATCCTATGCAAACTGCAAATTATATCTCACACCTAGAGGCATGCACATGCCGTTCTAAAACAAATACACTTCTTTTTCTAAGATAAATATGACTGAAAATAGATAGATTAAAAATAAAATATGAAATACTTTCATAATGAGCAGCTTATATATTCATTGGGGCATGTTTAATTTAAATAAAGTACAAATTACTAGGAGTGCCATGATCTCGGGAGAACCCTATCAAAATTGCTAGATTTTAGGTATTAAATTTACAAAATGCTAAGGTGTTTCAGATATGGAATTATTTGTTTTGAGGACCTTTTTCTGATTTTATCTATCTAATTATATATTTTAAATTTTGCCAATTAGGGGTAGGAGTTTATGTCCTTTAATGGATGAGTTTGAGACTTGGACAATCATTATACGTAGTGCAATTTATACTGTCATTCAACAAGCATTTTTTAAGAAATCAAGTGCAAGATTGTTAAAAGAAGACACTTCCTGACTATGTTGAGCTTATTAAGGGCATTCAAATATTAAGTGCTGAAGAAGCACCAGATCGTCTAATTACCTATCAAAAAAGAATCATACAATTAACTATACATGTAAGTTTGACTCCAGATGAGAGTCAGCTCTAATTCACTCGTTTGGGTTCTCAGATAGATAAATAAATAAAAAAAAAAAAAAGGATATTACCTTGAGACTGGAGAGGAGGATTTCCTAATAATGTATCTTACAGTCTTCCAATATTCACAATAGGTAGGAAGTAAAAACTGTGAATTTGGTTCAGTTTCAATATAATAATTGGAAAATGTCCCACGTATATCAACAAAGTCAAGAGACTAATTAATTGAATTATTAACAAATTTTCGAATATAATATCAAGTGCAGACTCAGATGATGCTAGAACATGGTTTGTGTGAATGTACTAGGAATATATATTTAAAAACTCAAATTATGATGAGTAACATTAAAAATAAAAGTTGTCAATTGTAACAGCAAAAGGAAAACATCAAGTGCTGACCATTTAAGCTTTGGACTGGTGAAGACTGGCCCCTTTTTCATGCAACCTAAATAAGTTTGAGGATCAGACCGCTCTTTTGCCAAGAGGAGCGAAAGGCGATCTGTCAATATGTAACCGCAAAACTAAGTAAAGAGTCTAGATGAAAAAAACATGTATTGAGCAATCAAGAAGTCCAAAAAATTAAAAATAAAAAAATACCTGGCTTCAGATATATGTCATCATCTGCTTTCACATAGAACTCAGAATCATACAGAGCATATGCAGCTTTGAAAAATGCTAACCTATAAGACAACTGCTGTGAGTGGAACCTCAATTGACAGGGACACAATAAAAGATCTTGGAAACAATTAGCACTAACGTTTTGTAGGGGAGCTTACTGTACTCTTCCACTATATCCAGCAGAATAAAGTCATCATGTAAGGAAACCTCCTTTCTAAGCACTGACATTTTCCACTCGGCACTTGTCTTGCCTATGATAAACCTGAAAGCCAGACCAGTGGCTTCTTCCAGTCTGCAATCAAAGCTTAGATTTTAGAAGGCATAACATATCGGCAATAATTGCACACAGTAAGCAACTTAGCCGGCAACCAAAGTAATAACCAGCTATGAACTTTCCACAGACAAGTAATTTCATTAAAAGCATCATAGTTCACCTTTGAAAAAAAGTAGATAGTCATAAATTGAGTAACATTTAAAATCACTACAGATCCGACCCCTTTTGATCAAAGGATACCAAATTCTCATGGTACTTTTCTCTTGCAACTACAGATATACAATAGGATGATCCGTTTGATTCCAATATAATCACTAAAGAACCGACCCATTTTGCTCAAAGAATATCAAATTCTCAGGGTAGTCTTCTCTTGCAACTACTGAAATACAACAGGGTGATCAAGGTATAGTAATTTTAAGAGGTGAAAATGTAATCAAATAACCATTTCCATTACAAAGTGCTTGGTATGGAAGGTAGGGTAACACATCCCATTTCCTAAAGGTAACTATTACCACATACTTCTTACCTCTCTCAACCCTAAAATTGTTTCTCTCCTCAATCCTCAAGTTGATAGTAGGGAATCCTTTCCTTCGGCATATTTAATAACTAATAATGGTAACACTTAACATTACCCTTTCCTCTTATTATTATTTACATTCCATTTCCTTTCCTAGGTTCATACCAAACATGCACTAAGAATTATAAAGAACATAATAGGCAATTAAATAAATAAATTTAAAAAAAAAGTATATAATATCAATTGATTTACTTGTATATCTTCAGTAGTGTTAATACAATGGAACAAAATGCAACGAAGAGAAAAATTTTGACAAATTCTTTACATAATAACTACATTACTTTGTACCCTAAAATACAGAAAATGTCTTGACTCTGAGAATCTGTTAATTATGTTAACAAAATATGATTGATATGCGTTCACAATTAATAGATTCCTCATCTGCTCAAAGGGTTCTTGAAATTTTTTATTTTAATTTTAATTTTGTATTAAAAAAAAAACATTAATTGGTTGCAGCATTCACTGGTTGAGCCTAAAATTCATTTTATTAAATTGTATCTCAAAACATTTAGAGCATTATGCCACAAAAGGCCTCTAACTGGAAATACAGATAAATTCACAGTAACTTTCTGTGGTTTATTTTATAGTACAGTTATACTATAATTTTTTCCCACAACTGACACAAACATGAAATTCAAACTATACATAAAATTGACGAGGTTTGGTAGCATTATGAAAGAAATGAATGCAGCATGATATATTCCCATAAATTTACTTTGATAACCCTTCAAGATTGCAGAGTACCACATATTGCACACACAAGGACACATCATAAATACCTACTTGCACAAAAGAGTACCATTACACTACTGAAAATATAGCATTGGTGTTTCATCTATCAATATAAGTTGTGCATATTAGACGATATAAGAAAATCTTTTGTGCATTCAGGATGTGCATAAATCTAGCATGATAAGCATTACTCTTTTTTCCTAATCGCCATAGGCCATAGAATTTGAAATAAATGAGAACCTTCAGAGATACAAGTTTCATCTAACAAACACCAATGAGGCAATGATTCTAAATCAAATAGGGAATTAAAGCACACATGTTTTAGTTCTTGAAAGAATGGACCACTAACTCCTTCAAAGGAAATTGTTAGCTTCTCCTTTTTATTTTTTTTAATTATTATATATATATAAGTGTTAAATTTTAAACTTACCTTAATCAGCCGTTTTAATTTAAGTGGTATGCTTCCTTTTTTGGCAAATTAGTAGACTTAAATATCATATCTATCCTCTCATAGTCCCCACTGCTACTTTTTTTTTTTTATTATTTTTCTCCTCACAATTCCCTTACTTTTCAATAAACTAAAAAAACTATTAATATCACTACTTTTCTTATTAATACCCTAACTACCCCACTTACTTCTTATTACAAATAAGTCAATTAAATATTTAAATTACCTAAAACTATGTCAGTCAAACTGTAACACTTCCACTACTTTTCACTAAAATTAAGATACAAATGTGAGAGTAAAATTTGAGGTTAGGCTAACTATCTTACTAAAACCTGACTAATAATCTTCTAGCTCAAGCGAGCCACCCACTAAAAGGATTCCCAACAGAGATATCATGAACCAACCAGACCAATATTACTTAAAAGGTAATTAAGTCACATCGATCCAAACGTAAACTAAAGCTTTATAGAGCTAGTGCCTAGTGTACGTCAAGTTGCTTGACTGGTTAAGTGGTAAGTCCTTGGTCTGGTAGTATGAAAATTGACATAGAATAAGAGCATTGGACCAAACACACCCAAGAACAAATACCCCAAAAATATAGGACACAAGGAAGCTTTGGGTATAAGCAATATGTTCATAAATTATCCAAAATATATATTTTTAAAAGAAGGCAAAAAAAATCTTTAGATTTGTTCTTGTTTTCAATATATTCATCATCATAAGAAGCTTTTGATAAAATAAAACATACGACGTATAATTTAAGGTGTAATTATAAATAAATTTATATAGTTTTTTTGACAATTTTCGTTTTCAATATATTCATCATCAAAGAAGTAGAGTAGCCTCCCATTTTCCTTCCAAATCTTTTTAACAATGGAGGAATTTGGTTTAATGAAAGATAAAGGAAGATAGCTCCATTTCTTTTCCCTATATCTTATCCAAATTAGAGGCAATGTATCCCTCACTTTCCTTACTCTCCCACTTCCTCCAAAATCTTCTCCAAACATAGTGTAATGGTTTCAGAAACACAATAAATTACAATCATAACAAGACCAATAAGGTGTCGAAGACATATCCAAGGTGCACTGGTATCCAATATGCATTGCAAACAGGATACAAGTTTTCCTACAAGTGTCCACCTATATAAGTCTGAGGATCTCCAATGAGCATCAACATTTTTCTTTGAAATTTGTAAACCAAGAAATAGCTATGCAGAATGACCCACATAAGGGATCCACGGTGGGGCAATACAAACTAGCTTAAGGCTTAACAGCGTATATATTTTCTGCAACTCATAAGCAATAGAAAAAGGAACTCAAGAGTGAGTTTCCCTACTATAGAATCCTAAAATAATGTTGCCCATAGAACATCATCGTCATAAACTCAGACACCAAACGAATTGACAAGGCAACAAACACAATAGCAACACCGTCATCTAACAATTCCAAACCCACTAATCCAGCAAAGCTAAGTATGCTGTTACTCTAACAATCCAAACACATCAAGAAAATAGAATCAACCACAAATTTGCTCGCATACTTATCACCTATAAGAATTTCCGGTTCTTTGCATTCGTATACATGTTGGTGAAAACCTTACCCCTAATCAACAATGCAGTAGAGAGACTATCCAAAACTTACAAGTTCCCCCGCGATTAATACTCATGCTCACAGTGTAATTCGAACTAGTAACAAGACAACTCCTACATCCAGACAAAGGATATATTTAGTTCCTTACCAACCATGTAGTAGAGAGACTATCCTGAAATTATAACTTGATCCGGATTTAATATTCATGCTGATAGTGTAATTCAAATTAGTAACATGACAACTACATCCAGAAGGAAGTATTTATTCCCTTAACAGTTTAACAACCATGTAGAGAGACTATCCAAAAATTATAATTCGATCCGGAATTAATAGTCACATTGATAGTGTAATTCAAACTAGTAACGTGCATCCCGACAAAGGAAATACTAATTTACAGGAAGGATCAAATCACATACTCCATAATACCAATAATCGAACAAAATGAAAGATTAGATTATGGATTAAAGTATTTTACCGTTGTAGGCCATCACGATCAGATGGCAACCAAGTCTGGCGCAAAGACCGTCGACGACCAATAGATCCAAACCCAGTAAAAATCCCAACAAAACCCATCACTTTATGCCTCTTATTCTTCACAACCCCATCTGAAATACCGCCATTACTATCATCTGTTCTTTCCCAAACAACAGAAACTATTTTGGGTTCGATTGAAGTGCAATTTTGGCTAAAAAGAGACCTTGAAATTGCAATTAAACCCAAGATTAACCCAATAATTCCAATCAAAAAACAAAAGATCTGAACTGTTGGTTTTCGAGAAAATGAAAATGGAGAAGAAGATCGATTGTGGAAGATTTTAGGCCCTTTTGATGAGGGCATTTCTGGGGTTTTGGAGGAAGAATTTGGGGAAGTAGAAATGAGAAATTGGAGCTATAAAGTGGACTACCCTTATACTAGGATTGAATTTGATGAGTACAATGAAGGATTTGAGTTGTACTCAGCTGAAACTTTGTTTAAAGAAGAAGGTGACAGTTACTTTGAATTTGATATATTGATGTCCTATTTTGTTGCCTAGATACGATGGGAAGGAGGGGCGTATGCTTTTAAGTTGTTGCGATTTGAAATTATTATGATTGACAGATTGGGTGGTGTTTTTGATTCGATATGGTGTTACTAAATTTTTACAAAAACTTTTGCATGTTTCCGGTTTACAATAATTTTATTTTACATTGAATATTTTGCGAAAATTGACTCTATTTACTTACAAAAGCGTTTTTTTTTTTTCACAAATATAACCCCTTTTTTTTCACATCAGTGACCCACAAAGGGTACCTTTTTCATGTATAAAAGTTGTCATTTTTACCTATAAAGGTATCCCTACTTTTACAAAAGTGGCTCATATTAATAAGAGTACATTAACATGGAAATTACTAACATCAAACTAACAATGCAAAACAGAGCGTGAAAATCAAAAAAAAAATAAACAACATAATCAGTATCACACACACACACAAAAAAAAATGAAAATTGACATACTAGAGCAGCAAAATTCAAATTTTCAAACTATAAATAAATGCATGTAGATCGTCTTCAGCAAAAGGTAGATTGGGAGTTTTCTTCATCGTGTTTACGAGTAGCAACTAATTTGCAAATTTGTTGAAAATTGAAGAAATAAATTCGTTAAGGAATTTAAAACAAAAGGCAAGAATTAAATTACATCAAACTAAGATAAAACACAAATAAATGAGGAAATAAACTTGATACTACGTGCTTGAATCACTAGAGATAAAATCGAATAGAGAGGAGAGAGAAAAAACCAGAAGATAGAGAAAGATGGTATCCAAAAGAAAAAGAAATGAAATGAGGATAGAGAAAAAATACGTAACGGCATCAACACTCGTGGTATAATTTTATACCACGATGTAAAATTTATCCAAAGTATGATAATTTTTACTACAATGGCGGTGTAAAAGTATACCATGAAAAGTTATACACCATCCCATGGTAAACAATTACTTTGATCCCCGTGTAATATAAACCAACCAGGTCACGGCTTGTGGCTTGATTATCATGTATCTTTTATATTCTTTTTTCAATTGCATTTTAAGAAAAAATTATAAAGTAAATAATTATGAAAAAATTACCATGGTTCATAATTTTTCAAGACCTACACATAGACACCCATATTCATATAGTTTTATATATTTTTTTCGAATTCGTTTTTTACTACCTAAATTACTTATTTTATTTAATTAACTTTACAAACATTAATTAGTTATTTCCAATATATAATAAAATAAAATATAATTATAATTAAATTAATTGTATAATTAATAAATATAGGAGAGAGAAAATGTGGTGGCAAACTTTTTTTATACCATGGGTGGGGTGATTTTTGGAGAAAGTATGTTGTATTGTGGTATAAATGATGTGGAGGATGAGAAAGTGGTAAAGAGAGGGATGGTATAAATTTTTATACCATGAGTGATGGTGGTCTAAGAGTATTGAAGTATTATTGGAGGGTTGTGAGACAAATGAAGGGTGTCTCACAATGGCATTTTCGCAAATATGTGGAAAATAAAGTGAAATGGGGTGGTTTTTGGAGGGAAAATAAAATTGGACAGTAAAAATGTAAACGGGGTGGTCCTAAAAAGAAGAAAGTGACATTTTTAACATAGGGCAAAAGTGAAAAAGTTGATTTCTTCCTCCATCCTTGTGAATATCGAAGGGAAGAAGAACAACCATGAAAACACCATGGAAGTAGCTTGTATAACCGGGTAAAAGGGCCTAAAAATATTCGTCATAGCTGTTTTAAATAAATGGTGGGTGTTGTTAACGAAGGATGTGTCGTGGGTGACACTGATAATGGCGTAGTACTTGATTTGGTGAAGCATATAGGTGACGCCGGCGGCTCACGATGCAACTTTGCAGACATTGAATGGGGTAAGTATAATAATTCAGCTTAAAAATGAAAAATGGGTTAATTAGGGGTTAGTCATAAAATCAAAATGAGAAATTAAATGTGATAATTGTCAAATATAGCATGAGAAATTGATTAAAATTTGGAGCATGAAAAATAGGAATTATAATTTGTTTAATTGTTGTAAAATGAAAAATTTAGGATCATATAAAATAAGAAAAAAAAATTGTTTGATTGCTATAAAAGTGTAAGTGAATTGTTAATGTTAAAGCTGAAAAGTAGGACATTTAATTTGTTTAATTGTTGGGCATGAAATAGGAAGGAAATGTATGTAATTATTTTGATATATTAGGGAATTAGTTCTTTTATGTGTTTTGAACTTTTGATTGATGAAATGTGGTTGTTGGTGCACTCAATAAGGAAAAATAGTATGGTTGGATGTCCATGAAAAGTTGTTAGTTTTGGTTAAGTACTTAAGTTTGATACTTTGATTAATGGTTATTGTTCATTTTTGGTTGATTATAGTTATTGTTTATGTATTTTACTTAAGGTTGTGATTGGTGAAAAGTCTTATAAGACTTCAAAGAAAGGCAAGAGTAGTGTGGCCATTTCAGTTGAGATAGAATAGTTTGTGGAAGTGGATTGAGTCACTCATTATTGGAACTTGATGAATATTTTGGGGAATACGGGAAGCAAAGGATTTTATGTAGTTCGTACTAGTGCTTGCAAAATAGGCAAAAGCCCGAATGCTAAACTGAGAAGGAATTGTTGTGGACATGTGCGAGCTATGGGATCGGAGGCAAAGGCCTAAATGTCAATGACCGTGGTGAATGATTTATTCAAAGGGTCAACCTCGCGCGAGCACGATCGGTTGAAGGTTATTTTTTGTAAAGAAATGCTAAATTTTATCTTCTACATCATGTAATTATATATGTGGGTTATATTTGCAAAGTACTATGATTATTATTTTTTTTTTTTTTTTTTGTGCACAAAAGAACTATGAGTCTACGATTAATAATTTAATACTTCATGTGATAGCCTATTTAGAATGGTATTCGAAGCCTTATTAGTGGAACATAAATATGATATCCAATGGAAGTATAAAACCTTTGTAGGTATGAGTTTGCACTTTTAGTTGAACAATCAACCATTATATGCTTTAGTGCAACCAATAGCAATTACAGAGGTATCCTATAAATTGTTAGAGGTACTCGTTTGATAAATTAGGTATAGATGAATTAGTTATTTCTAATCATTTATTCTTTATCAAACATATTGTCGATCTAATCTAATCTATTTTAATATGTATATACCAATTTAAGTAGTGAATATCAAATTCAATGTAAGAGTTTAATACGGTTTTTACCCTATAAATTTTTAGCAATATCCTTTTTTATATAAATTTTAGTAAAACCCTACCAATTTTTATTGGTACCCTACAAATTGTCCAAGGTATTTCTTTACATACCACTGTGAGTAACTAGATAACTGATTGATTCAATTATAGTACTGTAGACACCCATTTGTGTCTCCCCAAAACAAAACCCAGTGATGAGTGCCTTTCACGTCAAATCATAATCGAATGAAACGAAAGTGTGGAAAGGTCTAGTGTTGCGGAAAGTTTTATTTCTTTTCTTTTCTTTTCTCTTCTCTCTGTTTTTGAAAACTTTACTTTAAGAAAAAACAACCAATCCAGTTTGGTTGGTCCATGATATGGGTCCAATAGTGGTGTAGTTGGATGGGGCTTGCAAAGACCTTTCCAACGATATATTATAAGCCCAATTCCGATGAATATTGAGAAAGTTATGGCCAATTTACTAAACTGGGCCCGGTTTGAGCTTTAAGTACGGCCCAATGATCTAGGGGAGGGCCTAATATGATTTATCATTCCTAATGTAATTAGGAATGGTTTTGGTCTTCTAGAACATTCTAGAAGGTTTTATCATTCTTAATTCAATTAGGATTCTTTAGAGTTTTAATTAGATCAAATAGCATTTTCGACAGAAATTATATTATTTTATCTTCCAGTACAATAAAATTATCAGATTTTCGAAAACGCGTCAAAATCCGGTTTGGCGTCCAACCCAGGCCTTGGCGCCTGGAATCAGGATTGGCGCCAGACGCCAGCCATTGGCGCCTGGCGCTAGCCACTGGTCCTGGCGCCAATGAGCCAGGGCTGGCGCCAAGTTAGTTTTTCGATCTTCAGACTCTGTTTTGATAAATTATCTTTTTTGGATGTTTTTCTCTATAAATATCGTATCAGAAACTCCGTTTTCATTCACGGATTATTAATATTCAATCATCATCTACATCTATCATTCACCAATTCTTTTATTCTTAAGTTTTAATAAACTCCGTTTTCATTCATCATCTACAATCATCAATCGTCAACAATTACTTTATGAATCGTTAATATTTCAACATTCTTTCTAAACTTTGCTCTTTAATACAAAATTCCGCATTTACAAGATCTTGATACACCTAGCCATATTCGAAGTTGCCTTCGCCCTAGACGTGAAAGGTTTTAATTTCTGAGGGTTTGGTCCCAAATCTCTATTTCAATTATTTAATTTAATTGTTTTGATTATTATTTTTCCTTGAAGTTACTAACGCGTGTATTTTGTAATTAGAAAGAGGTACGAGGCATCCAAGTAAGTACTTTAATGGTTTAATTGATTTATGATGTAGATATCATTCTTAGATTGTTATTTATGATTCCTAGTATCATGTCTAGGGTATCTTTAATATCAAGTATGATTTAAAAGTATGATGCTTCCTATGTTCTTTCTAATGTTTATGATTATTTATTATTATTATGATTATTTATCATGTTGCTTGATATGCATATATATTTTATATTGTTATTGCTTGATCACCTTTATTGCAGGTTAAAGGGGAATTGGTATTTGCAATCACGCTTAATAAGATAATTAATAATCTTGTTAGGTTAAAGGAATTGGTATTTGCAATCACGCTTAATAAGATAATTAATAATCTTGTTAGGTTAATTGTGATTATAATTTCAAGTGATCACCAATAATAGTTTATTTGTGCATTATATTCAACCAACATAGATTAAACAGGTTTAGGGTTAATCCTATTGATTGTATGTTAGTCAGGAAGCGCACATGAATACGAGCGGAATAAAGTAGAGGCCTATTATTAGGGCAGGTTCAATCTCTTTTAGGTTGGATTTGTACCATCATCCCCGGACCCTTATTTGGTTCATGACCTTATGGAGTTGGCGATCTCTTGGATCGTTAAAGGGTGTAACCTTCACCTCGTGAACGGTTTACAAGTTCCTTAAAAACTTGTTGGCGACTCTTTTGCTCTATCTTCTTCCCTTTTGGACGCCACCGTACTTTAGTGTATGATCACAATGGGGTTCAAGCTAGTGGGATTTTTTAAGGCTTGAAACTATTCCCTACAGTTTTTGGCGACTCCGTTGGGAAGGATTTCTATTTTAATTCCTGAATTTGTTTCGGCAATGATTTAGAATGAGTGGATGAGACTCGAAAAGTTCTAAGTATTTCATGTACGTAATTTTGATTAACATTGTTGTCATATGCATAAAAAGGTTCTCATTGGAAAGACCATCCGTAATGA